TGTAGATTTTTTACCCCATGGTGCCACTATCAACAGTGAATATTACTTTTGTGTTCTGAGTGATATGCATATACATCTGCAAAAATAACAGCCTGGTTTGATCACTAAGGCGTCCTGTTTCTCTAGGACAACGCACAAGCTCAAACTGCTCATTGCACTACATGCACATTACAGCAACTCCGATGGGAGGTATTGCCACATCCCCTTTACAGCCCGGACCTCACTTCAAGTGATTTCCATCTGTTTGGGACCCTAAAAGAGTTCCTTGGAGGTCAGCATTTCAGCATTGATGACGAAGTGAAGCAGGCTGTCCTAGATGGTTCAGGCGTACTGACAAATGTTTCTATGCCGAAGCTTTTCAGGTGTCTAGCTGGGAATGGTCACAGCGATCACGTGCACAAGCTGGGCCAATCACAGCCCAGCTGTGTCCTGTGATTAGCCGTGGCCAAATCACAGCTAAGCACAAAAAAAAACCCTGAATGAATCGATGTCATTCAGGTAAATGCTTGCTTATAGCAAAGTAATTATTTGCTATAAGCAAATTGTGTAAAAAAAAAAAAATACTCATCACTTCCCCAAAGTAGTACAATGTTACTATGGTAAAAGTGAAATATGAAAAAAAAATCTTAAAAAAAAAAAAAAGTAATAAAAAATTAAAACTGTCACCAGTCAGTGTCCCTGATCACCGCCATGCCAGTTATATGATGACACTGTACTGCACTGGTGACAGTATGTATAAAAAAATTAAAAAAAATTACAGAAAAATTACAACTTCAAAAAACTCGCCATGCCTCTTATGAAGTACGTCGGACTGTCTACTTTGCAAAAAGTGGTAATTTGGGGGTTATCTGTACTGTCCTGACATTTGGGGGATATCTGTACTGTTCTGACATTCTTGGACCTCAAGAAATTAGATTGGCCATCAGTACTTCAGGATTGATCAATATTCAGATATAGGTCAAACTTTATAGAGATGTCCTCCTGCGCTCCACAGAGTAACTAAACAAGACCAGCAGCTATCATCTATACCCTATACCCTCGGGATGAAAGAAATATCTAATAGTGAATGAAGCGCTCAGCCATGAGGGTAATGAACTAATTAAACTAAATGGATAAATAAAAATAAATACATAATAAATAATATATATATATATATATATATATATAAATATAATAAAGTGACCAGTGCTCCAACTAAATGTGCAAACAAGAATTAATAAAAATATATAAAGAATTCTAATACATAAATATTTATAAAGTGAAGGTGACTGGTGCTTCAAATCATCAATGTGTAAAACCAAAACAAACAACCAGTCTGCCACCCAGTGGCTTAAAACTGGTACTAAATATACACACACTAAGTGTATAAAAAGTGACAAGTGACCAGAAAACTAAAAACTATATATATATATATATATATATATATAATATAATCATAAAAAATACACACTTAATCATGTATATTAAATATATAAAAAAATGTGAATAAATACAAAAGTGAATAATCACTGCCTAAAGTGACAAGTGAAATAAAAAATAAATCCAAACTAGAGTGCAACAATCGTGCTATCACTCTTATAATGTGAAGCTGAATAAATGCTTTTCCACTTCAAAATCTTGTGCTCAAAAACAAGGAGTGACACTCTCATGCATATATCCTCCAGTGGCTAGAGTGCCTCCTCACCTCCTTTATTCGACCCCTAAGGGCCACAAATCATGTAATCCAATATTCCACCACCCTGATTCACTTCCGATAATATTGATGTTTTCACAACAGCTTATCTATCCTTCCAATATCCACTCCAAATGTATTGGGCATAGAGAGACTCAGCAATATAGTATCAGGGTCATAGAGGAGTAAGCAAAAAGAATACTTCCAATCGGCAAACTTCAGGCTTTGTCTGCAGTGCGCAGCAAGCCACTATCTGATCTCCAACTGTTCACAGAAGCAGCTGTCATACAAAGAAGGGGAGCCTTCTTCTCACTCTTAGGTCAGCTTCCTAAGGGCCCGGGGGCCCGGGTCAGTAGGGGGCCCCATGAGATGCCCCTGGTACCTTTTTCATAGGCTTTTTTGAGTTTGGGCAAGGACACAGGGGCCCCATGATCCCCTATTGCCCGGGGGCCCCATGAGTTGTCAGTCCGCCCCTGTACTGAATATATTATTTTATTTAGTATTAAAGCTCTTAACACACAATAATATAGTATTTTCTAACTCTTAAGCACTTATGGAAAACTATTGAATACAAAATTAAATTTGGGGGAAATTTTTTTTTTTTAAATTGAGGCATGTTTTAACAATGCTGAAACCATAGAATGTAAGAAAATCCCAATGATAGTTTTTATTTTTCATGGACTTCATTTTTTAAAGTAGAAAAATTAAATAACTGCATGAATAGTGTAGAACTAAAACTTAATGTGTGTATTTAATATTTGCACATTTTATGTAAATAATTAATAATTTATTTAATCTCTTTTCAAAAATAGAAATGAAGAATTTAAAAGAATTTATTTAAAGTAGAAATTAAATGAGTGCATTCACATTAGACTCATATATTATAAAATTAATTATTTAACATGTATTTTTTGTTATTACTTGTTTTTATAGAAATTATATAATTATTTAAAATGAGAAATTAATAATTTAAAAGCAAATATACTGGCAGTTGTAGTGGAAATACAGTAATAATATTAAAACTGGACACATTACTGAATATATTATTGTATTTAGTATTAAAGCTCTTAACACACAATAATACTATAGTATTTTCTAACTCTTAAGCACTTACGGAAAACTATTGAATAAAACATTAAATTTGGGGAAACATTTTTTTCATTGAGGCATGTTTTAACAATGCTGAAACCATAGAATAAAAGAAAATCCCAATGATAGTTTTTATTTTTCATGGTTCATGGACTGCATTTTTTAAAGTAGAAAAATTAAATAACTGCATGAATAGTGTAGAACTAAAACTTAATATGTGTATTTAATAATTGCACATTTTATGTAAATATTTAATACTTTATTCAATCTCTTTTCAAAAATAGAATAAAGAATTTAAGAGAATTTATTTAAAGTAGAAATTAAATGAGTGAATTTACATTAGACTCATATATTATAAAATTATTTATTTAACATGTATTTTTGGTAATTACTTGTTTTTATAGAAATTATATAATTATTTAAAATGAGAAATTAATAATTAAAAGCAAATATACTGGCAGTTGTAATGGAAAAACAGTAATAATATTAAAACTGGACACATTACTGAATATATTATTTTATTTCGTTTTAAAGGTCTTAACACACAATAATGCTATAGTATTTTCTAACTCTTAAGCACTTATGGAAAATTCTTGACTAAAAAATTAAATTTGGGGGGGAAAAAAAAGTAAATTGAGGCATGTTTTAACAATGCTGAAACCATAGAATATAAGAAAATCCCAATGATAGTTTTTATTTTTCATTTTTTAAAGTAGAAAAATTAAATAACTGCATGAATAGTGTAGAACTAAAACTTAATATGTGTATTTAATAATTGCACATTCTATGTAAATATTTAATACTTTATTCAATCTCTTTTCAAAAATAGAAATAAAGAATTTAAAAGCAAATACATTTAAAGAAAATACTTAAAGCATTTTCTAGCTGTAAAATACTAGCACTTCTGGAAAACTATTGAATAAAAAATTAAATTCGGGGGGGGGGACAAATTTAAATTGAGGCATGTTTTAACAATGCTGAAACCATAGAATACAAGAAAATCACACAGATAGTTTTTATTCTGCATGGATTGTATTTTTTAAAGTAGAAAAATTAAATAACTGCATGAATAGTGTAGAACTAAAACTTAATACGTGTATTTAATAATTGCACACACATTTTATGTAAATATTTAATACTTTATTCAATATCTTTTCAAAAATAGAAATAAAGAATTTAAAATCAAATATATTTATAGAAAATACTTAAATAAAACATTTTGTAGCTGTAAAATACTAGCACTTTGTAAATTTAAGTAGTAATAGAAGTACAACAATAATATTAACTTTTATACATTATTTAAAATTAAAGCTCTAAACACTCCAAATTATTTCTCAAATTTTAAAAAAGAGTAAATTGATTTAAATTTAGATATATACATAATTACAAGGCTAAGCTAAAAAAAAAAAAAAGATAAGAAATGCACACAAATAGTTTTATTTTTATAAACTGTACTAAAGTAGAAAATGTAAATGACTGGTCACGTAGTATAATTACTCAGGTGTCCAACATAATACATACTATATAATTTATATATAATAATTTTAATGGTTTATTCAAACTATTTTCAAAAAGTGGGAATTTAAGATTTCAAAAGTAATATGGTTCAAGAAAAAGCATTTTTAAATTAATGTGGTTTCTAACTGGAAAAACGGAACACTTTGTAATCTTAAGTGTAACCACCAGCAGCTGTTGTGTTTAGATTTTGGATAAGTCTGTGTTTAACCAACCGCAACAAATGAACCACAATGGTGTTGTGCTAACCCTATGGAAGAGATTTGGAATTTGAAAGTCCTATAAATAAATTCACATTAATATCGTTAACTGCTTACTTCTGCTTTTTTCTTTTATTAATTCATAAAAATTTTTTAAGACTTTGTCTTAAAAAAAAGGTTTTATCAAAATATTATGACCAGTTTGCATTTACATTCTTTTTTATGTGAACAACTAAAAAAGTACACCCAACAACTGAGGCTGAATGGCACTTTAAAGAGTCTTAACTGCCCCGATCTACTTATTAAATCACTACTTGTCCGGCCTAGTTGTAAAGAAATGGTTTTTGAAACACTCCACGTTTACCTCTGGTTTATCCTTTAAAAATTGTGCTGCACGTTTTTTACTTCACATGTGTCTTAGGACATTTCAGTGCTTCTAAAACCTGGTTGTTCCTCAAGCTGTAAATGATAGGGTTCAACATGGGGGTTACTGTTGAGTAGATCATGGAGACTGCAGAATCCAGCTTTTCTGAAGAACCATTGTTGGGTAGAAGGTACATGAATATGAGGGCTCCAAAGTATAATACAACAACTGTAATATGGGAAGCACAAGTGGAGAAAGTCTTCTTTCTGCTGGACCTACTTGGGATCTTGAATATGGTCACCAAAATAAAAACGTAGGAGGTGAGAATGAAAATGAGGCAGGTGGCACCAAACACAGCACCTGAAAGTGTAACTAGGATGTAATTTATGTGGGTATCAGAACAGGAGAGACGAATAAGAGGTTGAACCTCACAGTAGAGGCGTTCTATTGAGTTTGCACCACAAAACCAAAGACCTGCTGTGACCACAGTGTTGATCGTTGCGTTTAGAATTCCACTCAGCCAAGCAAGTGCTGCCAAACAAAGGCACACCACCCTGTTGATGATGACTGTGTAGTGTAAGGGCCGACAGATGGCCACGTAGCGGTCACAAGCCATACATGCAAGAAGAATGCATTCAGTAGTGGCACACAATGTAAATAGGTAGACTTGGATGATGCAGCCATTGAAAGAGATCACGTTGGTTCCTCTTGCTAATGAGAATACTATATTGGGTATTGTGATAGATGTATAACACATCTCTAGGACTGACAGGTTTGATAAGAAAAAATACATGGGAGTTTGGAGCTTACAGTTTATTCTGACTGCCAAAATAATAAGACTGTTTCCTACAACAGTCATAAGAAAGATGATCAGAAAGATCACAAGCATCACCGTGTTCCACTTAGAGAAATATGAAAATCCAAGAAGGATGAAATCATCACTGTGGTCAGGTTGTGCATTACTAATTAAATTATATAAAAACTTCCACCCTGTAACAATTTAATTTATGAAAATAGGTAACATTTGTTAACCTGAGAGATCATATTTGTGGAGTGGTTTTGTACATATGTATTTGTTACGGTCAGAAATAAAATACAATCTTATTTTTTTTCTTTTTCTAGCCAGGTAAATAAGAAATATTGCACATTAATGTTTTAAACATTCTTGGAAGCCAGGCTTTTTGACTTTTACACCTTTGTTTACAGACTATATAGCTCAAGCTGAACCTTACATCTAGAAGTGAATAACTCATGAGCAGTCAGAGAAACTGAGCCTCTTGACATCAATCAGTTTTGCACATAATATATTCAACTCACGTTAAGTACCTTGTTTTCCAACAATTAAAAAACCGTACCCTCAGGCTAGATTCACACTGATGCGGTGCGGAATTTGCAGTGTTTTCTGTGCGAATTCACACCGCATCAGAAACGCACCCCGTTCATGCGAACCCATGTGGGTGCCACTTCCCGTCAGGCCCATGTAAATAAACGCTGGATGGTGGCAGTGCAGGGGCGGGTTGCCATTCATAAATGGCGCCCGCCATTTTGGATTGTGCATGCTTCCTAGGAGCACGCAGCACCGCAATTCAGTGCCCGCTGTGTCCTGAGGACCAATTGTTGTACAGGACCTCTGTGTGAGGTCCCAATCATAACGACTCTCAGAACTTGCCATACTAATTTAACCACTTCCTGTCCGGCCCATGTACATAAACGCAGGACAGGAGCAGTGCAGGAGCCTGGGTGGCCATAAACGGCCTCATCATTCCCTGCCTGTGCGCGCTCCCTGGTAGCGTGCGGCACCGATCACTGTGCAGGACCTCTGTGTGAGGTTCCGATCTTGTGATCACTGATTGGCCAATCAGTGATCACATAAATAGGAGTAAGCAAGATGTCACTTCTGCCATCATTGCACTATGTGTGAAATCTGTGAATGATCACCGATGTCACATAGTACCAGGGGCAGGACTGACAAATCATGGGGCCCCCGGGCAATAGGGGATGAGGGGGCCCCTGTGTCCTTGTCCAAACGCAAAAAAAAAAGCCTATGAAAAAGGTACCAGGGGCATCTCATGGGGCCCCCTACTGACCCCGGGCCCTTTGGGCAGTGCCCAAGTTTCCAAATGGTCAGTCCGCCCCTGCATGGTACAAAACTATTCACAACAGCCTTGTACCATGTGACAAGCTGTGACCAATCACAGCTCTCATAGTATTTCTCAATGGCTGTTAGAATGCAGCCAGAGAGAATAAGAAATGATTGCTTTTACAGCCTTTATGAGTGTAAAAGCAATCAGTGTTAAAAAAAAAAAAAAACAAATCTTCATCACCCCTCACAAGTAGTACAGTGTCACTATGGTGACACTGTACTGCTAGGGTGACAGTATGTTAAAAAAGAAATAATAATATAACAAAATAAATTAAAATGTAAACTTTTTTTTTTAAATTATAATAATTTTTGGTTAAAAAATAATTTGGGTTTTTTTTTTTTTTTTACTAAAAAGATAGATGAATACATTTTGGCCAAGATTTATGAAGAAAGATTATTTATTTGCAAAATGTTATATGAAAACTTTTTTTTTTCAAAATTTTTGGACATTTTAATTTATATAGCAAAAAAAATAAAAATCCCAGTGGTGAATAAATACCACCAAAAATAAAGTTTTATCTGTCTCAAAAAAATGCTAAAAAATTTATGGGTACAGTGTTGCATGACCACGCAATTGTCAATCAAAGTGTGATAGCGCTGAAAGCTGAAACTTGGCCTGGACAGGAAGGGGGTAAAAGTGTCTGGTCTTGAAGTGGTTAATTTAACACACCCCAAGATCAGTCCACAAAACGCGGTGCGATGTGCAGAAAATCAGGATCCCATTAGGTGTGATTACCCATGCGATTCTAGTGCGGACCCCAAAAAAGGATCCTGCACCTTTTTGGTGCGAGTGCGGTGCAATTTGAGCCTATACAAAATGGCTTTAATCGCACCCCACACAAATCGCATGTGATTTGCACAGGAGTTCTGTGCGGTTCTTGTGCGAATCAAATGCGATGCACCCGGATTAGTGTGAATGTAGCTTCAGTCTCTCTTGTGTGCTCAAAGGAATATTGTGGATGTTTCACATCATAACAGACTGCATACAGTTTAATCAATTGTTTCCAAAAAGTGAGACTGTCTAGTAAAACTGCAGTAAACTGACAGGTTAGCCAGTGCAAACAATGTGCACTAATCCTGGAAGGAGCAAAGCCTGCATATGAAATAATACAATATTCCAGTGCACGTATACATGTATACAGTATATACAAACTATTTAAAATAATTTTTAATACATTATCATACATTGATAAGATTATTTGCATAGGACAAAAAAATTGAGTTTTCCTTAATCATGATGATAATGATAATATTTTTCTGTACTACGTGTACTTCTAAATTACATGTCAAAAAAAGAGGAACCTAATTAACATTTTTGCATTTTTTTTTTGTGTGTGTAAAGGTGTTACTAAAATAAATTCTCTATTAATGAAAATATATCTCAAATTCTCTCTAAATAATGAAAGACTAGCCTAGATGTAAATGTATGTAATCCTGGTTGTACACCTCTGTTAGCATCCCATTTAAATTTTGAATAAAAATATGTCATTGTGAATGATAGAAACTTCCTGGCCAAACCCATACAAAATATTATAATAAACGACACAACATTAAAACCTCACCTGCTTTTAACAGAAAAGCAACACAACTGAGACTGCTGGAGAGAGAGGCTTATGTAAAGAATATTGGAGACTTGGAAGATTCCCATTAGACCCCCAGAGTCCCTCCTGAATATGTACATCTTAACTTTATAATTGTAAATAAGACAATGCATAACACAAATAATTGAATGCATTTTATTCAGTCTAATACTGGCCATAGATGGGCAGATATCCCAGTGGTATAGGACAGTGCCATCCCACCAGCAATCCTATCTCTAGTTTAATAAGTGGGTGGATGTGGTGCATGGCCAGGGACTAGCCATCTTTTTTCCCCCCAAGTATAAAAGGGGATTCTTGTCTGATGCGTGTACAATCATTTTCTAACATGCTGGAACAGTTTTGTGTGTGTGAGAAAAGTGGTCATGATTGAATGGCCAAAACAATCTTTATCAACCCCCAAGAATACTCTACTTGACACAGTCCCCACCTGATCAACCAAGGTCATTATTTACATGGATTGGTACAGGAACCCTATTACCACAGGAACTAATATATTTTTCTTCAAGTAATGGTGTGCTTCTGGTAAATGCAAATAAATATTATGTAATGGAGAAAATGCCTTCAAATATATTTTGGAAACATTTCAGTAGAATGCCAACCAAGTTCAAGATAAAAGCTGTCATGACCAACATCATTTAAATGTATCTTATGTCTATCATAAGTTGTTAGTCTCAATGCTCCAAACAGCAGCAAAATTGCATCCAGGAAATTATATTGTACTACAGTATTGTAACTACTGTAGCAGAAAAAAAAATCTCTCCTTTTTGGAACTTTTCTGTAAAGTAAACCTGTCAATTAAATGGATAAGATAATCTTAATGAGTTTAATCAAGGGTCAACCAAACCAAAAAGAGCTCTAAAACAGCAAAGCATATAACTTTATTGATCTTCCATGGTGCCTTGAGAGCCACCAAGTCCAATTAGTCTGTCATGGCAACTTTCTTCTCTAAAGAGGAGGTCTTTCAAAGTACCTCCATTGCAATATGCTAAGCCTCTGAAGGAGGAGCTTGAGACACAGCTCCAACCCAAGCTCCTGTTTGTTTTTGTTTATAGCCTCTTGCTGGGCTCAGTAGCTCCCAAAGGAGCATGGCAGAAAAAATACGTGTGGCAACTATTGGTGCCTGGTTGTCCAGTGCTAACTATGTGTACATTGCACTAATGAAGAGGGATGTGAGAGTATAGAAAGGACAATTTGCTGTATAGTCTACACCAGTGGTCACTAAATGGTGGACCACAAGACAGTCCCATCTGGACTGCAAGCCATGCCAACACTGGGTGCCCTCTCCCTGGGCCCCCCACCCAGCCACTGATGCCATCCCCACAGCAGGCGGGGTGCAAGGAGCTGCAGATCGGGACCGAGGGGTAGGAGCTGCCCAAGTCATCATGTCAACAAGTGGGCGACCGCCCGTTCCACCTACATGAAAAGACTCCCGCCCCCAACCTCAAGCCGCAGAGAGCGGAAGTCCCCACACACACCAACAAGCCGGGCAATCACTAGCTCCCACCCCCCTGTCCCAACCCGCAGCCCCCCACAACTCTCCCACTGCGATGACGACACCGAAGGCCAGGCAAGAGGCTCAGAAGAGGACACCCAGCAATAGCAGCAGCACAACCGTAATCCGGACAGGACCATGCCTCAGTGGGTGGGGCATGAGGAGATGCAGATCAGAGCTGAGGGACAAGAGTTCAGTGGCACCGCCCAGGCAATCAACATGCAAAGACCTCTCTTCTCTGCAGCTCGAGACAGAAAGCGGGAACCCCCCCACACCCTGCAAGCCAGGCAATTGCCCACCTGCCCACACAACAACCTAGGCAGTCCTGCCCCCCACACCCCCCCCACCATGAGGAGGACACCAGTGGTTTTCCTACCGCACTTATTCACTTGGTTCTATCTAAGATTGAATGTAATAAGTGATTACAACCTTTTGTCTATACATGAAGTTAGCCAATCCTCATGTGGCTATTACCAATAATGTTAATAGCAAAGGATAACAACTGGGCAAAAAAATAAAGATCTAATTTATTTACACAGCAAAGAAGCGGACTACTAATCAATTATGACAAAATAAATAGTAGCCGGTATAACTTTAAAAGTAGTAATATTACAATGCAAATGCAGAATGTTACCAATACAAAGAAAGATGAC